CAGTCTTCTTTGAATCTAGTCCCAAAGGTGTTCTATTGGACTCAAATCCGGACTGTGTGCAGGCTATTGTAGGGTTTGGAGAGGGGTGGGGATGGGGTGATGTGTGTGTGAGTATTCACTTGAAAGGAAAATGCGTAATGATAGGCGGTGCATTTGTCAGTTAAAGCCTAGTTCTTCCTCTACGAGTTGTTGAATATACGTTAAAGGAGAATCCGAACGAAAACAAAACTTTTGATATATTGTAAAGGATATTCTAAGAATTACCTTCCGTGATTAAAATTGAACAAAAAGTCCGAAAATAGCAATAAAAACACAAGAAACGTACTCGTATTTCCGCCTTTTACGGAAACACCCGACAGTTAATGAGCAGAGGGGTATCACGTGACTTGACGTCATAAGTGCCTGTTGCTGATGGCTGCCTCTTTGATTTTACCTCACAACTTAACAGTGTCCATGGATTCTTAAGCAGTAAAAGGTGTTCCTGATGTCATTTCTGAAATGTATGTTAGTCCGTATCATTACGATCCGATTTTACATCTTGCAATACAATCTTCCAGTGAAGATGAAGAAGAAGAATCAAGCGAAACGGAAGCACCGCTTGAGTTCAAAATAATTTTTAAAATATACCATATCATTTAACAAGAATACTATTTCACAGCAAAATGTGATACAGTTCCAACCAGCAAACCCACCCCTATAAGTATATGACCAGTCCCTAAGAATGATATTTTTTGCAATGTGATTGCAGTTCCTTTTGTGTCAAATAGGTGACTGTATAAGGTGTCTGGGATTTAAAAACACAATAATTATGCTTCAGACGAGGGAAAATAGAAATTATCTGCCTCAAAAATTACACTGGAGTTATTTGGTTGAAAAAAGTTTAGGATCCTACTTCTCATTAATAACGTAGAAAGTCTCCACACAAAATCCCAGCCTGGTCGAGCAGAGATAATATTCGCGACGCAGATAAGTTATTCCCCGAAAACTGGTGAATTATAAAATACTTGTCAGGACAATGTATGTTTCCCCTGTGTTTGGTTATGGAAATAGTTATGGTACTCGGCCGTAGCCTTAGAATGGCATCTTGTCAACCAATGTGAACACAGAACAACTTTCACGGCACACACTACTGACAAATAGCGAGTCTGATGCCGACGTATTTCTGTGCACTTAAGACCATTGTAGGTTTAAGGGCACAACAGACGTGCGTAATTGGACAAAATGGAAAACAATGAAAGCAACAAGTACTTCATGATTTGCCGTTGTATTCGGCAATGTTTCGGGTAGTCTGCAGCATTTAGGGCTCCAAACCCAAAAGAACGTCATAGCGAAACATTTTCAAGCTCATGTGAAATCTCTTACTGATTTTGATATCTAAACTCTGTCAAAAAAAGAAACGCAACCCCTGTATTTTAGAGATTTTGATCTGAAGTTTTAAGACGACACAGCATTTTTATTATTTAAGACAGAAGTCTGAAATTTGGCAGAATAATAACCAAGATGGGCATGTTTAAAATTGTCATTTCAAAAGTCATCTCACAGACACCAGTTTGTCACCAGGGGGGGCGTCTTTCTCAGTATCTCGTATGAGCACCACGAGCTGCAATCACTGCACGGCATCTCCTTGGACAAGAACGGATAAGACGCCGGATTCTTTCCTGGGGAATGGCTCTCCACTCCTCCTGCAGTGCAACGCCGAGCTGTTGCAGCGTCTGTGGCGGCGGCTGACGTTGACGTACGCGTCGACCCAGAGTATCCCACAGGTGTTCAATAGGGTTGAGGTCTGGTGATTTAGAGGGCTATGGCAAGACATTGACGTTGGAATTCTGCAGAAAGTTCATTGTTGCACGTGCAGTATGAGGCCGGGCGTTGTCTGGTTGAAAAATCTGTGTCTGTTGGTCAATAATCGGGAGAAGGTGAGGCTGTAATACGTGGTTGATGTAACGTTGGGCTGTCAGGTTCCTTCAACGATCACCAAGTCTGATTTCTGGTTGTATGAGATGGATCCCCAAACCATAACGCTTTCTCCGCCAAATCTGTCCCCTGTCGGACGCAGATGGGCGCAAAACGTTCATGACGTCTCCTATACACACGTTTTCTTCCGTCGTGATGTTGCAAAAAAGAAAACGGGATTCATCAGAAAACCAGATGCGCCTCCAGTTTTGTAAAGTCCAAATCCTTACGTTGTTGCACCACCTGAGTCGTCGGCGGAGATGTAGGGGCGTAGTACAGGTCCAACAACTGGTCTACAGGCACGTAAACCCGCTTCTTTCAGACGGTTCCTAATCGTTTGAGCTGACACTCTCCTCAAACCTGGTATTTGTGTGGCAGTCACGGTTGGTAGGGCATGCCGATTACGCAGGTGATGGACCCGGATGTACCGATCTTGAAGGGGGGTCGTGATTCTTGGCCTTCCACTTCTCGGGCGATCGTTGGTCAAATTGAAGTTGTTGTAGCGGCTCCAAAGTCGGGATATCGTTGTTTTGTGAACATTTAGGTGCCGTGCAACAGTTCCAAAACTTTCTCCGGCTTGAACACGACCAATGGCGATATTTCGGTCGGCAGCACTCAATCGTGGCATTTTTAACACAGCTTTTCGGCGACAAATGAATGAATATAATACGAAAGCACATGGGCTTTTATACACCCATACATTAACTGCCATTTTCATGATTTGCATGTGTTTTTTTTGTGCGAAGTCACCATGAGGGTCATTTCATGCGTTGTGACGGAATAAGCAATAAAATACACTTATGCGTACAAATGCAGTTGTTTGGATGGTAATCTTCATTAATTACGTGTATAATTTCAATACATTCGAATAACATTTAGTTTGGAAGCAATAACTTCATTCAAACGAATTTTTCATATCTGAGGACAGGGGTTGCGTTTCTTTTTTGACAGAGTTTATCTCATGGGTACCAGTGGAACTGCCCCAGCTACAAAATGCCCCAGCAAATTTGGTCATCCATTCTAAGTTGGTCAAATTTATTTAAAATGATTAAATATATGCCGTAAATGCATAGTTTTTGTCAACTTTGATATTATGTTCTTCATATTATTAAGAAGTAATATTTCTGATAAATGTTCCATCAGTAAACTCATAACTATGTATATACTTTTATATGAAGAACATAATATCAGAAAAAGGTTGACAAAACTATGCATTTATGGCCTATATTTAATCATTTAAATAAATTGAGGCATTTTAACTGCCCCCCTGGGGCAATTTGACCAAATTTGCTTAGGCAATTTGCAGCGGAGGGCAATTCGACTGGCAATCGTACTTGATTTAATGTATGTTAAAAATACCACTGACAGTAAGCTGTAACAGGTAATGATGGAGTAGAAATGAATCTCGTGGGTAATTCTTCCTTCTTCAGCCTAGCTTTGGGATTTGTATGCCCCATGTGTGCTTGTCTTTTTTCATATGCGTCAGACTCGGAATGATCGGACCATTTCTCATGTCTATGTCTGTCTCTTTACTTGGAAAACCGAAGAAATGGTGGCTTTCCATTGTTCCATGATTCCGTGCATCCCCAGGCAACAGAATACACCATCGTACCATTTACAAAAACGACAGAAACAACACGATTTGTACTACTGTAGCGCTTGGTCTTTGGGAATATGGCGGACTCCAGGCACATTTGACGTCACGGTCACGTGGGTTCCAGCGAAATATGCATAATGGCCGAAGCTGAGATTTACAGAAACTGTTTTCGCGATTAAAACATAATTATACATAATTTTTAATTGAAAATTTGGGAATATGTTTCTGATGACTTTATCTTTCACCCAGCAAATTATTGCAATTCACTCGTATTCTCCTTTAAGTATAATGTTATAATGTTTAAACTTGTGCTGTGGCAGAAATGTTTTAACGTTGTTCTGCTCATTACGGACACAATATGCAAAATGTCGGCGTGTTCTGGTGTCAACGAAGGACATCTCTGAATGATCGTGCTTGCTCATTTCAAGGCTGGTAATGATTTATTGTCTCGACGTAAAGTTAATTAGCACTCAGTAAGATGGTCACATTCCTTCTTGGAGAATTGGATGTTTATTAGGCGTTTCCATCGATTTACATGTTGGGCAATTAGAGGTGTTCATGGGGAGTTTCAGAGAGTGTCGCCGGTGTTCTCATCTGCGCTTAGACGGACAGAAGGATGCGACATTACTGAGAGTCTGTTTTGGTGATTTGTTAATGAGAATGCGATGATTGTTCGCCATTTCTGTCCCCTAATCTGCCCTGTGGACGTTGAAATATGAGCCCCAGTACATTCGAGTATCAGTACGTCCTTAAATGAGTGACCCGTGAAGGTCCGGGTTAGAATTGATCTTCAGTAACCCATGCTTGTCGTAAAAGGCGACTAACGGGATCGGGTGGTCAGCCTCGCTGACTGGGTTGAAACATGTCATCGTATCCCAGTTAGGTAGATCGATGTTCATGCTGTTGATCCCTGGATTGTCTGGTTCAGACTAGATTATTTACAGACCGCCGCCATATAGATGGAATACTGCTGAGTGCGGCGTAAAACTAAACTCACTTACTAACTCACTCTTAAATGAGTGAGTGAGTTGGGGTTTACGTCGCTTTTTTAGCAATATTCCAACAATCTCACGACAGGGGACACCAGAAATGGGCTTCACACATTGCACCCATGTGGGGAATCGAACCCTGGTCTTCGGCGTGACGAGCGAACGCTTTAACCGCCCCTAACAATATTCGAGACCTGGGATGTAGTGAGCAATCGAGCGTTGTTGTATTCCAATATATGGACCAGTAGTAGTTGAAACATACCAGTTATAGAACCCCATAGTTTCTCGTTCATTGCGGCAATGAGTTATTATTGTTATGGATTAAAATGTTACATCTTTATCCAGGAAGCAGACATTTTAATGTGCATCTCATCTGCGTGAAATCAACCATACAAATCCATGCGCTATGAAGCTGCAATGGTTACCCCCTGACCTACAATGAACTCGTCCGTGTGACGTCACCTCCTGCTAACTTCGAACTGCGGAAACTTCGCCAAGAGTTTAAGCGAGTTGGTGACACAACCACATCAGAAGTTAAGATAACTTTCCTACAGATCTTGGATTATTCATGACACAAGAAGTAAGTATAAAGCGCTGTCTATCTTGTAGCGACATTCTAGCAGTGTATTTGGAATGTGAAAGCGGGAATGTCAATCGTGGGACGTGTACGACTACGAGTGAGTTTGATAGTGGCCACGGAAGGCTGTGGTCTGTCGCCGATATTTCTGTCAGCGACAATCTTACAACTTGAATGGCAAGCATTTGTACAATTACTTCACGCTGTTTCTGTAAGGAAATACCATTTGCGCTATGTCGTTAAATGTTTCTTTATTTCCGGATGTAAGTTTATTACGGACTTCTTTAGCACAGCCTACTCGAGCGTTATTGAACTTTATCCCATGTTAAATGGTGTGTGACGATCACTCCCACCTTCAGGCTGTAGACAACATGTGGGTATTTGTATCGATTGTGTTACAATGTGAATATTGACTGGCTCTTTGATAACGATATCATTAGGTCAGCGATATGTATCAGATGTTGAGTTAACCTCAACAATGTAATTTATATCGGTTCAGTGACTCTGTTGTCACAAAACATCCCTGGTGAGGTCAATAAGTCAGAGTGATATATTACACAAGTATAATTAGACCTGATCAGGAAAATTATTTGAAATGGCCTCCATCCCCCAAAACTCACTCATAACAGTGAGATGGCTCTACAGATTATCTAGAGCAGATAGAATTACTTACATGAACAGAAATGCAATGTGTTGATATAATAATGATAATATGCTTACTGTGTTCTGTAGATGCTACGTGTACATTACTTATTGTGTATGTCAGTTACAGTGTACTGGTCCAATGAATAGCTGCCCTTACACCCAAATGATGACTCAAATTTTTAAGGGAATATATTAAGAGAGACCACATGTACAAAGTAAAACAAGATGCCTTCTTCGATGTCTATGAAACGGAAAGATTTAACACAACTTTGATAAGTGCTCAAGTTAAGGAAATCTGTCATGCAAGTATTAATGGATGGAAATTTGTTGTACACTATATATAGCCTTTCCTCCTTGGGTGTTAATTATTTTCAAGAGCTGTTGGGCATGGTTAGCTTTCAACAAATAAATATATTAATTGTTTGATTCTTGACAATGAGGAAAATATTAGAATGATTATAAGTGTTTTGTTGATTGTTTCCTTTTCAAAGAGTGACCATGTTTATTTACAATAAATAATGGAACATCAAAATCTTGTGAATAAAGTGGTACAACTCAAATAGACCAAATTTAAAACCATATTATGTATGACAAGAAAGTAGTCACTGTACATATCTTCCAGGGCACTCCCTCGTCTGTACTGGATCAGTTTCATAAACATGGATTGCTATTTGGAAAGCTGTGTAAAAAGGGGGGAAACTACATATTTGTAAAATCAGTTAATTTAGTTTTGAGGGAAAGTAATTATATTGCCTACACTATCAAGCCTGATAGCAGTTAATGAGTATTTGAGCTACTTCACTGTGGCATCAAAGAGTGTAGTAAAGTGTGTTAATTGTGTCTGCTGAGCATCCGTGAGTACACAAGATAATGACATTATATACATGACTGCAAGGTTCAGTGCCTGCTGTACATATGGACAGCTTCATTCGGTGTGGGGGCGGTGGGGTAGCCTAGTGTTTAAAGCGATCCCTCATCATGCTGAAGACCCAGGTTCGATTCCTCACATGGGTACAATGTGTGAAGCCCATTTCTGGTGTCCCTTGCCGTGATATTGCTGGAACATGTCTTTAAACTAAACTTGCTTACTCACTCATTCAGTGTGTTTATGCTGATGTGAATTGTCAGAAAGAAACTTTACATGAACTTTGATATTGTTTTACAAACAGTAATTTCATGACAGGTTGATAAACTGTTACTATTTCACATGGAATATCTGTAGGTAAAACAGAGACTCCTTATCCTTGATGTGAGCTTTAGGCAGGAACATTTTCCAGGATTTCATAATGTGACTTGTTAACTGAAGTGTGCCTTAACCTATATGCTGATATGGCCACGTATGACATGGCTAAATGAGGTTTATTGTGTCAGAAATTTTGAATCATAGATGTTTTTTCAGGGTAAATATAACCAGGCCTTTGGCAGCTTGAATCACTGTACAGTGAAACTGGAATGTTAATAGCTGTTTCTAATGGCTCAGAGAGACCCAGCTATTTAGTCAGTGATCAATACCTTGAAGTGATCAGATACTGATAAGAAACCTCCTGTTTTGGAATTTGTAGAAAGGTGGCACTTAACTGGAGAACATGTCTTTTATTTCACGAAGGCCTGGCCAGACACAAACATATTAACAAATATTAGTTACTTGAATATTATCTTTTTGTGAGTGAATGACGAGACAAATGTGTCATTCCACAAGACATAATTCCGGATACACATCCAGAATGTGTACACACGTCCCAGCTTTGCTGCACTGAATACATCAGGATACCTTGTCACGGGTACAAGGGGCGCTGGGGTAGCCTAGTGGTTAAAGCGTTCGCTCATCATGCTGAAGAACAGGGTTCGATCCCCCACATGGGTACAATGTGTGAAGGCCATTTCTGGTGTCCCCCACCGTGATATTGCTGGAATATTGCCAAAAGCTGTGTAAAATCAAACTCACTTACTCACAGATACACACGCAGTATCTGTACACGTCCCAGCTTTGCTCCACTGAAACCATCAGGATACCATGTCACAGATACACACACGGTATGTGTACACACATCCTAGCTTTGCTCCACTGAAAACATCAGGATACCTTGTCACAGATACACACACAGTATGTGTACACACATCCTAGCTTTGCTCCACTGAAAACATCAAGATACCTTGTCACAGATACACACACAGTATGTGTACACACATCCCAGCTTTGCTCCACTGAAAACATCAAGATACCTTGTCACAGATACAGACAGTGTCTGTACACACGTCCCAGCTTTGTTCCACTGAAAACATCAGGATACCTTATTAAATTGACACTAGCATCAGATACAGCGGCTAATTATATCATGTTTTCACAGCATGTTTGTACACAGAGATCTTCCAGCTTCCTGATGAATTTCCTGTCTCAGGAGATGACCTAGTTAACAGCCTGACTTTTAAGTATGTCACTTGATAATTTCTCCTAAACAGCCATTATTCTCAGTTACTGATAACTAGATTCCCATGTACACTAGAGGTGGTTGGAATATGCAGCCCCAGCTGGTTGTAGTGTTGTGTACTGGCTGAACTCAGGCTGTTCTGGGTGCATAGGCCCAGTAAATGGGGTAGAAGCGTGAGTCATGTTTAGTGCTGTTTCTCAACATGTAAAGAGCCCATTGTTTCTGTAGTGTTTCAAAATGGTTTTGGAACATGCTGTTTGTGGAAGCTGTACATTGGAAATGAATTTGTTCATGAATGTTCTCTTTGAAATAGCATCTAATCTGATATCGAGATGATCAATGTAATTTTACTGAGACAGCATACCACTACTACTTTAAATCCTTGGTAGCCTTGTGAACATATCACATTGAAGATTTAGTTTTTGTTTTCCTACTTGGTACAATAGGTGACCCCCATTCTTGGTGTCACCTTCATGATGTGACTGAGATATTGTTGACCACAAAGCAACTCTACAGCAATGTTAATTGCTACTTGCATGCAAGCCTGGGCTGATTGTGTAACATGAATGCTATTCTGCACCCTAGGGCCAGCCAATTTGAATGAGTGTACTTTCCAGTCTATGTTATCGCTGATCAGTCCAGTAAATGGTTCTGGTTAATTCACATCCCTGATGACTTACTAAGCATGGTTATCTCCCTTGCTTGGGTGACTTCATGTGACCAGAGAACAAACCAGCAAAGCTTTGTCTTTATGACACTATGAAACATCATTGGCATAAATCATATAGACATGGAGGCCTATACTGCATGCTTGTGTTGTTTGGGTGGCCATTAATTAGGATCTCAATGCAAGGATAATTCATTATTAGTTTCGATTTGAACATACACATGTATTTCATTCTCATGAAAAGGGGGGGTGGTGGGGTAGCCTAGTGGTTAAAGCGTCCGCTCGTCACGCCGAAGACCCAGGTTCGAATCCCCACATGGGTACAATGTGTGAAGCCCATTTCTGGTGTCCCCCGCCGTGATATTGCTGGAATATTGCTAAAAGCGGCGTAAAACCATACTCACTCACTCACTCATGAAAAGGATTGTGCACAAGTTATGACAACTTTGAGTGCCCCTCTCCCGTGGCCAGTAAGCATGGTGTCACATGTATGTACTGAGATAGATGAGGACAACTTTATGGGTGAACAACTTCTTTATTCAGATGACAACGTTTCGACACAGATTCTTGTATCGTTGTCAAGCAAGTATGATTCAGGTAGAAAACAAGGTTTTATATATGTATGTATATGTGTGTGTATATATACTGGACAAAATAATTAGGGATATTGGTATTTTTATGATTGATATTCAGAGCTCCAGATAAGATTTAGCTCATGTGGGTACTGTACCCACTGTATTTTTTGGGAGTGGGTATTATGAATGTTGAGTGGGTATTTCATTTTCCGTTACCCACTGCTTTCAAATATGTGCGTATTTCAGTCATTTTACTCACCTAAGTATTATGTCATTGAGTAAGTTTACTAAGCAGGTATGTTCTGCCTTATGTCATACCTAATCAATACTAAGTTAAATATAATGGAAATGATTTCATAAAAAATCACTCATCCTACACTGACAGTACAACACTTGTCCTATACTAACAATACAACTTGATAGCAATCGATGTCTTTTTCATTACGCAAGTGATTTTTATAAATATATACTGTACGCATTTGTTTTAAACTTTTTGCGTATCTAACATTTTAAATGCGCAATTGGTACGCAACAATTATTTTTCAATGCGTAATTGGAAATTTTCTATGCATATTTTACCCGGATACGCAGCTTATCTGGGCCTCTGGATATTTGATCAATGTGTCAATGAATAAATACATCATTATTCATAATTTCAAAATTTACACATTTCTGGTGTCCCCCGCC